CCTAGGCAATAATTACAGTACCAGCAAGTAGTCTGATCTGGGGTGTAGATCACGTTTGGATTCTGGCGCCATAGGTCGGGGAGCTTGTGGAGGCTTTTGCTTTTGTCACACATTTACGGAGTATTAGCTTGCTGGTAGGGTAGGTCATACCAAGGACATTCTGATGAAATGAATGCCAAAAAGCAAATACAGAACCAATGATGAAACTGTTTGTTTACTCATAAACACATGCTGATACTGCACTGTAATATGCGGAGAATCCTTCGCATACTGAACGGGACAATTAAATTAAATAATGAGCGTAATTGTGGAGAGAGGGCAGTTATTGGCAAATCGGGTAATGCATCCTCCTCACGCAGGTGTTACAGTCAGCAGAAACAATGTGACAATTTGGGATTTGATAGGTACAGCCACTGTATCTACTGTGTACTACAGTATTTACTGCTTTGTAAGTATTGATGATGACAGGACAGTTTTCTTAGTTCCCAACATACTGGTAACGCAACTACCAATTCCATACCGCTGGCAGCTTTCAAGGGCCCTCTTCTACTACTGCACTTTGTCGCACAGTAAACGTTGTAATCGGGACTCCCGTCCAGCAGAGACAGATCAAGATCTCTTGCATACTCCATAGGATGCAGATGAGAAGCCCTCATCCAGCCAGCAAGGTTAGCTGCGAGTTCCACTGCACCATCCTCGTTGCTGCAGACACGGCGGGTTTTGGATTGCGACAATGGCGTCGATCCTGAGCAGCTGTGTATCCTCAGGCAACAACAACAGCATGCGATCATCGATCTCCACGGCAATTACCACTAATGGTCCGTGCACAAGCTTCCCCCAGCCACGTCCAGCTCCGGGTCCAGTCCGTTCGGCAGAATGAAGATTGCAACGCTAGCTATCCGTTGCCATGGCGACATGGCGACCGGCATCGTATTTCCCCTGATCTTGCTCCAGGTAGTTGGACCTCGGCCAAAACCCGCCCAGCCATCCGGGAGCTTAGGGGACCCAGGGAGAAACACAGAAGCCCCAAGGTTGAAGAAGATGGAAAGACGGGGCAGCAGCATTGAGGATCCCACGCCTCCAGCCATCTTTCCTGCACGGGGTGAGCAGCAGCGGCAGCAGCATGAAGCCTGGAGCTCCGTCCAGCCCGCAGACTTGCGCACGATACGGTCGCACCGCAGCGATTGACGATATCGATTGGGCAGGTATCAGTGCTATCCAATGTGGATGGTCCACGACAACGATTTGCACGCAGGCGCATGCTTCCGTCCCGGCCACCAGCATTTTCCCGGAGCTCGAGCTCCCTGGCGGACTGGACTCCAGGCTTTGTTCTGGCTGAGGCCTCTGCTTCTCGCTGGCCCAGAGATAAAGTGCGAAGGCTGGGGAGAACCGTGGGATTGGCGATGACGAGTTGCACCCGCCGGACACGGGCTGGCACTGGCACAGAGCACTACAGGCGGGTCGGATAAAGGTCGAAGGATGCTACTCCGTATGGACCAGAGCCATCGAGCCATGGGCGGTGATGGGCCAGAGCAGCGCAAAGCTCGTGGCTGGGAGAGGCCGCCGAGGTCCCCATTGTGGTATTTCCCCAACCACCACGCAGACGAGAAGGCCAATGAGCACAACACGCCGTCCAATAATGTAAACAACACCGACCTGATACCGCACCAGTCATCAGCAGAGGCAGGTAAAGGGTAAGCAGTGACAGGCTCGACAAGCACGACCAACCTTGTTGTGGCAGCAGGTGGAGTAGCTGAAATTTGTTGATTTGCGGTCACTTCTCCTTTGGGTAGTTTGTGTACTATGGAGCGCAGGTAATAGCGCCATGGGGGTGGTTGGGAAGAGTGGTCTTGAGTGTCTGGGCGTGCGCCCAGGGGCAGAAGGGCAGAGAATAGCGCAGAGAGCAGCAGCCGGCCCAGTTCATGTGAGACAGCTCGCCTAATTTAGCACGTAAACAAACGCGAGTCAACAACAAAGCAACTTATGAACCGTGCAGCGTCCCACTTCCTTCCCCTGCTCTGCTCCTCTTATTTCTACCGCCTCAAGATCCAACTTCTCCCCTCTTGATTTTGATCTTTCCTTCTCCATCTGCACTACACAGCTCTTCCCCAATCCTCTCTACTTCGCTCAATTGAAAGACCAGAGTCGAGAAGCGTAGCACCGCACGCTCCTTCCTCCACCTCTTTCAACACCCACAGAAGCAAGAGACCCCTTCTTGTCTTCCTTTCGGCGAGTCGAAAGGCATTCGAGAAGAGAATCTCTCGCACTGGCAGAAATCGGTCAACCTGGACTTTGACGCCCGAGTCCCGATCCCCTTCAGCCTTTTCCCGTCGTCCTACAGGAGCGACGCCGGTGTCCAAACCACTACTACCACCACCAAGACTCGAATCGAGGGTGAGATCCTCGCAACTGCACCAGAGCGCCTCGGACGGGAAGACCAATACTCTTCCTATACCGCCAGTCTTCCTCCGCGTCAGGAGCAGCAGTTCAAGCAGGAAGAAGTTTTCATCACCCGTGAAGAGGACCGTCATCACCGTCCGAGTCGCCGAGAGGAGATTCGCGTGAGAGAGGAATTCAGGTGAGTTTGCGCAGCCATTGAACCTTCATATCCCTTCAAACACGAATTGCGAGCTCTGGCAAGCAAAATCTTTCCAAGAGAAATCCAGTTGGATTTCGGAGGGAAATTTGAATATCTGGGTTGTTTTGGGGACAGCTTTTTGGGAAAAGAGCTTCCCCCAGCTTTCCAGCTCCACCGCACAAGAGACGCGGTTGCTGCAGCAAAGAAAAGGCGGGAATTTGCTTTTTGCTCAGGAGCTCCACCCCAAAACAACTCGTATTCAGCTGCCAAAATGTCTCAGCCGTCAGCAATGAGAGGGTGGACCCACCGATAGCGCAGCGCCCCCCATGCAAGACCCATGGGGCGCCTAACCCCCGTCGGTCCGGGCCTTGCTCTCTCTTGTTGACATGGCGACGTACACCGACACCCCTTCCCGCCCCCCAAGTCAAAACATTGAACTAACACACCCTTCCTTTTATAGACCCGATACCAGAACCAACACAACTCACATCGAAGTTGACATCCCCCGTCACCGTCGACGAAACTCCGATTCTGAGATTGACATCACTGAACGTCAACTTCGTTCTCGTTTCCAGCCTAACTACCGCGAACAACCACGCGTCACCCAGGCTATCGAGTACACTCCTGCCACTCCTCGCTTCCAGCCAAACTTCCGTGAGGACATCCGCGTGAGCAACAGCACCGTCGACGTTCCTCCTTCTCGTTTCGAGCAACCAAGCTATCGTCAGGAATCCCGCGTCGCCGAGACCACTGTCGATCCGCCTCGTTTCCTGCCTCTTGTCAAGCGGGAAAAGATCCAAGTAACTGAAGAGACCGTCGAACCTCCCCGTATCAAAGAATCTAAGAAAATGGGTTACTACGACGACGAGGGTACGGGTTGCGTCCACCCTTTGCTTGCTGTTAAATCTATTCTATTCATCATTGGCTAACTCATGTGTCCCTACAGGCCACCACCACGGCTTCCGCAACAGCTTGGCTCGTGCCGCTGACCGTCTCATCCACCCAACTCACCGTGAGGAGATTGACATTAACATCAACAACACATCGTCTGGCCCATCTGGCAGCGTTGTCTCTAGTGGCTCTTCCTCCAACGGATCCCCATACCCACCCAACACTGTCACTATCCCATGCCACCACATCCGCATCGGTGATCTCTTGATCCTCCAAGGTCGTCCTTGCCAGGTCATCCGTATCACCACCTCCGCTGCCACTGGCCAGCACCGTTACCTCGGTGTTGACCTCTTCACCAAGCAGCTGCATGAGGAGTCCAGCTTCGTTGAGCACCCCAGCCCAAGCGTTGTTGTCCAGACCATGCTCGGCCCTGTCTTCAAGCAATACCGTGTTCTTGACATGCACGATGGCACCAGTAAGTCTCTTCTATCGAGTGGATAAGACCACAGCTTTTATTGTACGGTTGCGCTAACAATACTTCCAGTTGTCGCCATGACTGAGACTGGTGATGTTAAGCAAGCCGTCGGTGTCCTTGACCAATCCAACCTCTGGGAGCGTCTCTCCGAGGCCTTCCACAGCGGCCGAGGCAGCCTCCGTGCCTTGGTCATCACCGACCACGGCCGTGAGCTCGTTGTTGACATGAAGGTCATCCACGGCTCTCGTCTATAAGCTTGTTACCTTTTTTCTCTCGCTACTCTCTAGCACTGTAACACCCTTGTAACCAAGTTGTATCCCTTCTAGGATACAGCGTGGCGATATGATAATGATGGCTCTCTGTATACGTCCCCATGGGTCATGCCTTTCATAATATGTGACATGTAAATGGGTGATGGTGTTTTCTTGTGGTGGGAGTGTGTATGAAAATTGGAATGGATGTAATGCATGGGATATTGGCCAAGTTGAGAGCTGGGTGCGAGGCTCTGGTGATTCTAATGATGATGTTTCTTAAAAGGTTTATTGTTCACGTAGATAAGATAGCATAGGATCAGAATGGATGTCTTGTGTTCATAATCTGCAGGTTTTACAATTCTTTGATCTGATATGTGACCACCATAATATTATTTCTCATTTGGATGATCTACGAGAGGCGTGACGTGTACATAATGAGAAGTTTGTTTATCTATTGATGTAAACATTGAATGTTTGTTTACGCGTTTGTTGTCTTCCGTGTTTACTAATAATAACATAAATAATACTGTACAAGTGAATAACTGCCGTAGCTGCATACATAAAGTGCGTGCATAATGATGTGCATTGGCCAATCATTTTCGTCAGACGAAGATGGCTCATACCTAGCTCATTTCTCAACAAAGTCATTCCTCGGTAAAAGTCCAGCCGAAAAAAATTAACTCCAACGAAAATTGAGCACGTGAAAAAGCTAATTGAATATGGGTATTGGAAAATATGAGAGTGAATGCGATATGATTTCCTTTTACTGTGATAGATAAAGAAAGAGGAAGGACAAAAAAAATGGACGCTGTGGGAATTGAACCCACGACCTTTCATAGTTTTTGCGCACACAGACAAGGCACAAATGCGAAACGAAAATCATACCCCTAGACCAAGCGCCCCTCTTTGGACCTGTTTGCTTTGAAGCGGGCAGGTGTATAAGGAGGTGAGAGTGGTAAAGGTGTTTATATGTGAATGGTCTGTTTTTGTCTGTGTGTAGGTTTCTTTTTCTTGGGATACATGTATGTTTTTGTGGTTTTTATTTATTTGTTTGTGCGTTTATATTTTTGTTGTGTTGTGGTTGATATATTTATTTGCATGAGCGCAACAAACAAACATATGAATTGAATCTGACTGTATCTGTTTATTTACAAATGTTCCAAAAGAAGAAAACAAAATAGATCAATGGTGTATAAATAAACAGAACCCCTGTGGTGATAAGCTTTAGAATAAATATAAATTGGTGATGTGTGAATTATAACGAATCTGATGTAGAACCAAATCGCAAGTAGCAATAAGGGAAAAGGGCATGGTTGTCGGGCAAATGAACTTCTGGATTCGAACTTTTGCCCAGCCCAGTATGCGTTGCTAGAGAGCTGTCACTGCATGGGGCTTGAGCATACTCTGACTATGCCAAAGCATTTCCTTTACACCAGCTAGGTTGATACTGCTCATTCAATATGTACTGGATCAAAGAAACTCGAGACTGGAATATGAGTTGATAATGGTCATACACTATTCTCAAAGACCGTAACAAGGCTGCAGATGAAAAAAAACCTATCGGTGCAGCAGTCATTGTCCCAAAGAATGCAGAGAAATATCAACCCCAACCAAGAAACAGAGGCCTTTATAAGTCACTAAGAAAGATAGATCGAGACATGTTATTCATATACAATAAAACACAGATAGAATGGAATCATACAGAACAATGCCATTCACGAAGAACAGTATCAATTAAATAAAATCACAACCGCTCACCTCATATCCCTCTCCTACTAATCCCAATAGTAGTCACACCCACATCCACATCCACGCAGGCAGTACTATCCTCACACCTAGCACTTACACAATCAAGGGCATATTCAAGAAAAACCACCCTTATAACTTCCAACCCAACTAACCACACACACACACACACACACACACACACACACACATACACAAACACAAACACATGCCCACCCCCATCTTCCAAACCCCCAACGGCAGCCCCGCCCCCTGGCGCTGCTACCAAGCCCCTTTCCCATCCTCCGATCCCCCCACAAGACGCAAAGTCGTGGGATTAACCCGCAGTCGCGACGCAGACGGGTCATGGAAGGTTGGGTTGTGGGCCGTAGATCGAGATGGTAAGGGTCAGGTCCTTCATCCCGGGGCTGATAGTAGTAGGGGTAGAGGTGCGGATATGCCTGAATCTAGGTCACAGCCAGATACAGAACAAGAACCGGAATCGAGGTCCCAGGGGGAAGCGGCAACTGGAAGTTCCAGCGCTGATGGTGAGACTGCGACTGAGAATGAGCCTATCAATGGGAAAAGCGACGAGAGAGAGAGTTCTAAGACGAGTGGTGCAAATAAGCCCCTGAGGTTTGCTACGGGTAGTAGCAAGACCAGCGGTACGACCAAGATCGGAAAGAAGAGAGCAAAGGTTAGTAAGAAAAAGAAAGAGTGCGTCCTGATGTAGTCATCTCACCGTCTTAGGTACTCATACGTTATAGAAAAGTTAGCATGGAGTTTCTCGTTTGAATTGAATGCACAGCGCAGAATTTACCCCTTAAATATATTTTTATTCATATGCGATTCAAGCACATACCAATATTATATTCTTATAGAGTATATCTGAATCCCTTATTATCAATCTCCGTCTGATCTAGCATTCCTCTTTCAATAGCCTCCCTCTCTTCCTCCTCACTTAGTTCGCCCCTTGCCGCCTGTGCTGCATCGCGCTTTTTGTTCTCACGGTACATATAGATGTAGAGAACAATAACCATGACCAGCTTGATGCTGTAGCCAACAAGCATGGCAATATATGCACTGTGATAACCAGCTGGTAAAGTTGTTAGCTGGAACCCCTACAGGAAGTTAGAATATTACTTACGTGCTTGGCTTGCAATGAATGTTTGTGGGCCGATAATGTTGCCCACGCAGTAGCCCGTGAATAGCACAGCAGCTGTAAGTTGCTTCTTGGTGTAACCAGCAATGTTAGAAGAAACCATTGTCAAGCTCATACTAAATCCTAGACCCTGGAAGAAGCATAGCCATAAGGCTACAAGGCGACCCCACTACCCACGTTCTAGTCAGCTTATTGGAACAAGCAAAGCACTAGAAAGCAAAGAAAAAAAAAGACGGACCTTGTTATGGCTGGGAAGCCCAACTAATAACCCAGCTCCAACAATGCAAATGCTATTGGCCACCATCATTGTATAACAACGGATTCCGGGCCAGTGGGTACAGATCCAGCCGCCAGAAATGAGGGCCAAAAACTGAATAGCACCTCCTGGAATTTGCATATACTGGGTCCCCAGTGTATCAAATCCAAAGCTGCCCACAATAATACTGGTGAAGCTTGTTATTGCTGAGTTAGGGATCTGCGCTCCTACGGCCATAACAAATAAAATCCAGGTTTTGGGATCCTTGACAGTCTGCCATGCCTGGTAAGTCTGAAAATGGCGATTCTTGACACCCTGTCTGTTAGCTGCAACGCGGTTGACAGCGATAGTTCGCTCTTCGGGGGTGAGAAACTTGGCTGTAGATGGCAGGTCGGGCAAGACGATCAAGCTGACGATGCCCCATGCAATGGATACGGCACCAAAGATGAGGAAGACATACATCCACCTAGGCAAGCCCGTCGTGATGTGTCCGACAGCATATCCAATAAGGCCACCAAACATGGTTGCTATACCATTGGTGCAATAGTAAATCTCGAGACGAAGAGGTTGCTCATTTGAGGTGTACCACATGGACATCATGAGGACGAAACCTGGGTTGATAGTGGCTTCAACAGCACCCAGCATGAAGCGATTGACAGCTATGCCTGCGAAACTCGTGCATCCTGGGGTAGTCATGAGGATGATGCCCCAGAGGATGGTGGTATAGGAGAGAAATTTGCCGACAGGGAGCCGCTGGAGGAAATACCCAGATGGGAACTGAGTGAGAAGGTAGCCAAAGTAGAAGATGGAACCTGAAAATATACAGTGTTAGAGAATATGTTGGGGTTCCTTTGGTAGTTTGGTCTTGGACTATTGGATCAACCGTACCTAGCCACGAGTAGTCCTGGCCATGCAAATGCGTGCCTTTCTGGAGACCGTAGACACTGGAGAAATTGATGGAGTTCTTGTCAAGATACTGCAGGGTGTATGTGACGAAGAGAATGGGCATGATACGTAAGTCGATCTTGCGCAGAACCCTCTTCGCCTCTGCAGCATCGAACTCGAGCTCCCGGCCATGCTTGTAGACCTCGTAGTTGTCATCGAAGTGCTGTGAGTCGGCCGGGGATATCTCGTCTGCGTCTATAGGCGGCAGCCCTGGAGAAGCAGCAATATGCTTCTCTGGATCTTGGGAAGCCATTGTCGATACCTTCACTCTCGTCCTTACTTCGAGGTCTTTACTCTTATGAGAAGTAGAGAGATAGGGATGACAAGACGAAGGAGAAGAGGAACAAAAAAAGTAGAAGAAGCGGGGATGAGGTTGATCTGCAGAGCGACCTCATCCTTGAAATACTTTCCCAGCAAAGGCTCCCTTGTTGGAAGGTGCATGTCTCCCCACAGTGATTATCCCCATCTCGTCCTCGCCCGTGAGGCCATCCGCGAAGAGAATTTCCACACCCCCGTCCGGAAGCAGCAGCATCTCCGCCATGTGCCTGATCAAACCGCGCTGGGGGTGACGAGTTACAGTCTTATCGAGGCTGGTGTGGATGGAGGAATCACATCATCAACGAACCCAAGCGGGGCCAGGCACTGGGATCCACGACCAGACTGCTGGAAAATACGTACGCTAGAAATGGATGATTGACTTGCATCAACTGAGTGAACTGTACCATTATCCAGTAATTCTCCCAGATGTCCAATAATGTCCAATGTCCAGTGCGGTGAGTGTTGTATTGCGACCACTTCTTGTTGCCGTTTCGGGCGATCACATCATTTACTCGCGTCTGTCGCAATCCCGCAGCCCCTCTCCTGCCTCCAAACCCACGCGGCGGCTCGACTTGCCCTGATCCGCCCGCCGTTCTGGGATCTGGATTATCCGGGGAGGAGAGGAGACCAAGTGCTTGCGTCTAAAATGCTTATTGCCGTGGGCTTGTCTCCTCGCGTGGTGACCATGCTGCATTGATTATTGATGCAGTGACTGACTTACTTGGTTTGATTTGGACGTGTGAGATATGATATGCAGATAGCGTCGTGAAGACGACTAATAAGCTGTATGCTGCCCTGTTCTTCCGATTTGGGTCTCTCAGAATATATCTCTCCAGTATGTTCCTCTGGAATACTTCACGTAGCTGTGAGTCCTAGCTAGTTCCTAAGAGGGGCCAACAATCTTTCCGTATCATGGCGTGTAGAGGACCATCTATAGAGAGCGAGAGCATCAAAATATTGGCGATCTTGCGAATAAAAGTGACACTGTAACAATGTAAACTCATTGGTGTTGAATCGTGGTACAATAATTATAATATGACCACGGTTGAAGGGTTCAAGACATCCCGAGAATCTGTGTTGGGCGGAGGGTTGTCGTCTCGTGAGGTCAAAGTAAGGTGTGCCACTTGCCGAATCTGGAAGGGAACCCACCTCCAAGTCAAGTCTGCTGTTTGTGTAACTGTAACCACCTCACGAGTTTAATCATGTACCTCTCTCCGTCTTCCCACGCTTTCTTTTACACTTGGTCTACTATCATATGGGTGCTACTTATTTCGTTACTCATTATTCATTAGATCCAAACCACCAATAAGCCGTATCCATGTCCCGACCTGCACTATATAGATATCGAGACGAAAGCTGCAACATCCGATTTCCAACTCCTTTTGACTCTGGGGTATCCGAATTTCCCTAGTTTTTCAAAAATTAAACGCCCTGATATACTCTTCGCGCTATGACGCCTGGATCCAGCAGGCCCTTTATCACCAGTGTCTCTCAGC